ATACTCTTGAGGTAGCACAGAGGGGGAAGCCCCCTCCTTCACCCCCTCGTCACCCCCTCCTTCACGCCGTCCTTCACCTCTTACTACGATGGCCGGACCATGGAGTTGGAGGTGAAGTCTGCGAGCCAGCAAAGGCTCCAACGCGGCCGCACAACTTTGTTTTGGAAAAAATTGACTGGTTATGAAATGACTTTCTTTGGGACTCAATCGAGTCGTATTTTCATGGGAATGTTATTTCATTTGATCGCTGTAGTTTTTTTTTTTGGGAAAATAACTGCAGTTCCCTTCCATATGTGGGCACCAGATGTTTATACAAGGGTTTTCCTACTTTTTTGTCACAGCTTTCTTTTCTATAACACCTAAGATTGCTCTTCTTGCAAGTATGTGACGTGTGTTCCTTCCTTTGACATCACAAAGGATCCAATGGAGAACACATGTTTGCATCATTTGATTGATCATTCACACGGCGTCCATCCATGTCGCAGTTGCCTAGCCTCTGCTGGCTTGCTTTTACAGTCGCTAACTAAGGACGTCCGTGAGAGCTGTTTGCAAGGGAACTTGCACATACGGTTCGGGAAAAGCTCTCTGACGCCTATCTATGTATGAAGCCGCCTGTCTGTCTGTCGGTCTGTCGGTCGGTCGGTCGGTCGGTCGGTCTGTCTGTCTGTCTGTCTGTCTCAGTCCCTGGTTGAGTCTGTCAGTCCGTCCCTCTGTCTGTCTCAGTCCCTGGTTCGGTCTGTCGGTCGGTCGGTGTCCCTGGTTTAGTCTGTCTGTCCGTCCGTCTGTCTGTCTCAGTCCCTGGTTCGGTCTGTCTGTCCGTCCGTCTGTCTGTCTGAGTCCCTGGTTCGGTCTTCTTATACACATCTAGATGTGTATAAGAGACAGGCATGCAGCCAGCACCCGATTGCCGAATGAGAGGCAGGCCCTTCCCTATATCGAAGTGGCCTGCCTGCGTCCAGTCCAGGAAGCTTCCAGTAGGCCCCGGTAGCCTGAGGCCCAGTCACGAGGAAAGCA